ACGCTGAGATCGGCACACTTGGGGCTGCTGCTGCTGCGACGTCCAGGGAGGCTCAGCTGGTCTGAGTAACACGAGGGATCGCCCTCATGTTACTAATCTTCCCAGATGGGCTCTTTTGTTCAGCCTGTAATTAAGTTTCTTTGTTATGTCTTAGTCTTAGAAGATCACCTGGTTAAAAAGAAGGAAGAGGCTCCCCTGGTCCGGAGCCCATCTGCATGTTGAAAACTCCTCTACATTTAGTTGAAAACTCCTCTAGCCCTACCAAAGGAATACGTTCTGTTTCCATTCTTCATGAGAGACTATAGAGGAAATTAGCCATCAATTAGCTATTGATTCTCATCTTCTTTGGTTCATAACCGTATTACATCAAAATACTACAATGCACATAGAGGCTGTTGTAATGGTGATTTAACCACTGTCCTCCTTATCTTCAAAGGAGTCAAACAGAGCTATATTCTTGCTCCTTATTGTTCAACTTCTATATAAATGATGTTGTTGATACAGAAATAAATGTCTAGTACAGTTAACCTTTTTCGAAAGATAGTAGATCCTTAATGGTGAGTAAGATGACAGGGGACGATTAAAATCTTCATTTTGATATTCCAATTTATTACTTTTTTATTTTTTTTGCAAAACTTCAATTAACTGTTTTCCCAACTTTCATTCAATTATGTTCAATTTTCAGAGACTACCTGGACACGTTCCTGCAGTTTTATTGGAAAGGTTTTTCAGAAGTGTTTTGCCAGTGCCTGCTTTTCAGACTGAGAGAAAGGAACTGGCCAAGGTCACCCAGCTGGCTCTGTGCCTAAGGTGGGAGTAGAACTCCTGGTTTCTAGCCTGATGCCTTAACCACTCCTTAATACTCCAATCTAGCTATCCTCGGTTAAGATCGTATTTCAATACATTAATGAATTATGTACATACACTGTCATAAAGAGGAGTTTTTAAACAGCTTTGTTTCATAACTAATTATTCATCTTGACACAGCAAGGCAAAGATCCAGTTTTGCCTCCATTAGATCTCTGATTTCAGTGCTTCAGCTCTCCTGCCAAAAAATGAGGTCAAGGGAAGGTAGGTTGGAAAATGTATTTCTACATGTCATGCAATTGCTGCGCCCAGTCTTTTTAAAAAACAGACCCAGTCAGGGTTTTTTTCCCCATTTCTTGTGCAGTATATGGCTCAACCATTACTCAACCATTTATTTAACTTTATGATAATATCAGAGGTGGTATTCAGCAGGTTCTGACCAGTTCTGGAGAACCAGTAGCGGAAATTTTGAGTATAACTTGTAAATACCACCTCTGACTGGCCCTGCCCCCCATCTATTCTTTGCTATTCCCCCATCTATTCTTTGCCTCCCAGCTGATTGAGAGGAAAGGGGAATTTTGCAATGTGCTTCTGGAGTGGAGAGGGAATGGATATTTTACAATATCCTTCCCCTGCCATGTCCATCAAGCCACACAATGCCCACCAAGCCATGCCCACAGAACCGGTAGTAAAAAAAAATTTGAATCCCACAACTAGATAACACATACAACATTGATAGTACTTTTGTTCCACTATTGTTATCGGGGTTGATACTTGAGGCTTTGGGCTGAATCCAGGGTGAGTATAGACAGAGGGGAAGGATGCTAGGAGCTTGGAACAGGTCCCTGGGAAGGAGCCAAGGTAAGAGATGACCTCACAAATCTAAGTTGAAAGTTATTGTTCTCCCAGCTAAAGATGGCAAGTAAGCAAACAGTCTATTCACAAGAAAGTGTGCTTTCAACTTGTTATACTCAATAGTTCCCCAACAGTAATGGTATGTTGGAATGACCTCAGGAGATAGAAGAAAGGACTTGTCCAAGTTTCTTGAATTTTAATGGCAAATTGCTCCAATGTGCAATGTGCTGTGCAAGGACAATGTGCTCCAACAATGGAGATTTTAAAGAAGAGATTGCACAACCATTTGTCTGAAATGGTATAGAGCTTGAGCAGAGGGTTGGACTATAAGACCTCTAAGGTCTCTGTTATTCTATTATTTTCCAACTTGCAAGATTTTTGTCAGCCTTATGAGGTAGTCCAAGCATGAAGCACATCTAGAAGTACCAGCTCCAAATCTATTATAAAGTTATATTAACATAATCTTGCAAGCATACTTGCAAGTATAAAAGCACACTCCTTCTCCTTTACAATTCAAAAAGATATTGTCTAGTTTGTGACTCTTCCTTCCATCTCCCAAGGCTATTTCCACATGCCATTATACCAAATGGGATTTACTGGTAATGCATAGCATTGGAATCCAGGCACAATGATGTACCAAACCTTCTTTTCTGTAACCATATAAATTTCTTAATATAGCAAAATTCTTGTTTCTACTGAAACACAATGAAGGGAGCAAGAGTTCTTTCCAAACTAGGGATAATTCTATTAACAGATTAACAGAGTCTATATTGTATTGCAGAATGAAGGATGCACAAAGAGCATTGAAAGTCCTAACTTAGCATGCTATTCTCTTTCTGTCTCTCTCTCTCTCTCTCTGTCTCTGTCTCTGTCTCTGTCTCTCTCTCTCTCTCTCTCTCTCTCTCTCTCTCTCTCTCTCTCTCACACACACACACACACACACACACACACACACACACACAATTTTGTGCAAGAAGAAAGACAAGAGGTTTGCTCTTTGTACCTAATAATAATCCTGGCATGTGTTAACAGTCACTAGTCAAATGTTAAGCTCAAATATCCACTGGTTTTATTGTGGATGATTTATTACCACCCTGCTAAAAAGTGAGTAGAGACAGCTGCATTAAGAAGGCAGCTTAAATGCCAGAAGAGAAGGCAAAAGAAATCTTATGCCTTCTCCTGCCTCCCTCATGACACAAAGTATGTGTGAACATTAAGAGGCTTCTAATGTTAAATAGGAAACACAGAGCAATAGGAACCTTAGCCAAAAGATATGGAAAAGAAATTAACTATAGCACTATATAAAATACAAACCATTACTTTCAAAGATGAAAATAACTACCTTAAATATGAAATAGATATTGGCAAGCAAGGCACCATTATCACCATTATATAGTATAAAATGCATGTTCGTATTTGCTCAAGCAAGAGAGAAACCATAATCAAAGATTGTGGGCCAGTGAAATATTTTTGCATATAAATCTGTCTCAGTCGTTTTCTAAAATTAGGAAAAAGGACATCTGATTTTTTTTTAATAAAAAAAATCAAATGCCATAATACCTGCTGTTTAAACTGCTTTGCTGCTTTCTCCATTCGCTGAAACCCATGTTCTCGCTTCGTCTTGAATTCATCAAGTTTCTTCTGGACCCGTATCTGGTTCATCCATTTGAACATCAGAATGGCAGCAGCTGAGCCACAAAGCAAGCCTGAAACAAGGCGCCTGTCAACCTCAGCCTCTGGAAAGAGCTCCTTAACCTTGTCCAAAGCCATAGTGTGAGATTTTTCTCACCCTTCAGAATCCGAAAAGCTGCTAAGACTGTGGAGCTAATGGAAAAGACAGAAGAAGGAAGTGGGTGGTGATTCTTAAGCCCACCCAGACGCTGTCAAATCCAAGAAACTGACAGATAGATCCCTGTCTAATAAGGAATGAGGAACTTCCAGAAAAGTATCCCTGTAAAAGAACCTTTCAAGTGACAATTGTTGACTTAGCCATCACAACATTCCAATATACTATACAACATGTCACTTTAGCAATATAAGATGATCCACCTGTTCCATTCTATATTCCACCAAATGTTACTGCATCCATCCATCCAGAATGGATAGAAAGAAAAAATTCCACCCAGATGCTATGAAATTTGGTTTTCTTTTGTTATCTAGTCTAGGTATGTTTTCAAAGACTAGATATTGCTGATGACAAAGGATAGACTATGCAGCAGACTCAACAATAAAAAAACTCTTACCATGAACTTCTTCTTTTGCCTCTTTCATTTCTAAAATATACTGTAACTGTGATGTTATTTCTGTTTAACAGATTTGCTTCTCTGTGCTGAAATCTATACTAACTATTCCACTGCATACCCACTATTATCATCTAAGGCAGTGGTTCCCAAACTTGGCAACTTTAAGACTTGTGGACTTCAACTCCCAGAATTTTCCAGCCAGGAATTCTGGGAGTTGAAGTCCACAAGTCTTAAAGTTGCCAAGTTTGGGAACCACTGATCTAAGGGATGGCATACCAATATTTCAAATCTGAATGTATAAACAGAATCTAAAAAAAACCAAGGTCATGTTGGCTATTTGAGGGACACACACACACACACACACACACACACAATGTAAACAGATATGCAGTCCTCAGGATGATTGGGCAACTAGATTTTTTTTAGTCCTTGTTTGTTGCAAATGCTTATGTTCTTTCTTCAGTTTGCCTTTCTGGACATTTAACTTGCCTCTGGAAGAACTTGGAAACAGCCAGGGTACCTGTGGCTGTTAATCTCAATCTACTTCATCCAAATCCACTTTATATTTTATTTTTGCCACCCCTCATTCCAATCACCAATTGTCATGTTTCCAGCTTTGTTTGATGATTCCACCCACTACTTGTTCTATCACTCAAAAAAGGAAATGTTTGTTTCTTTTAAATCTTAGACCTTCTTAGTTTTCTTAGACCTTCTCCATGTATCAGGTTACAATGCCGTTCTTTAAAAAGAGAAGAAAATCATTGCTACTTGCTAGAAACAATTCCAATTAAAGTTAATGGGACATCCTAATATGCATATGAAGGATTGTACCACCAGTTTCATACTAGCTTAGCTTTTTATCCTTCTTTTCTTTTTTTAAAGGAAGGCAAATGAAGGAGAAAAGTAATATGGCTGAGAATGCTAAAATTAAGATCCAAATTTATTTCTTTTTAAGGAGAAATAACTGGATATGAAGAAAGATAGTTCTATCTTTCTGTTTGTTGCACACTGCCTCTACTTTGAGGCCATTATGGCAAAAGTGTGCACAAGGGAGAGTATTAAAAAAAACCTTCAATATGGTAGTCACATCCATGTCATTAAAGCCCCACTTCTTTTGTGTGTGTCATGCATAGCACATTCTGAGGGGACACATGACTTTTTTGATCTGTCCTGCATGCCCCACATAACAGCAAATGTGCAGTCTCATGAAATGTCAACAGTAATTCATCAAATGTTAATCTTTCTGAATATGCATATTTTTTTTCACAAGAGATCCATAGTTTAGATTTCCTTTTGGACATAGATCTGTCATACTGGGAACAGTTCCATTTACTGGATGTGGATTTTTTTAATTGGATTTTTTTTTCTGAAGCTGTGAAAGGCTGCACATTTTTTAAGTAGATAGGTTATTTGCATTAAAAAAAACTACCTTAACTCACTTTCTGGATTATAAACCTGTTAAGTAAACCAGAACAAAATTCTTGTCTACAGAGCCAGCTTTCCTCAAGTCAAACCAGTTTAACAGGCTACATTTTACTGACTAATGAATATTCCTACATTTGTTCCTCCTATAAATGCTAGCAAGAAAAAATATTGGCAAAAATGCCACAAAACTTTTCAGTATTCAAAGCCTGCCTCATGCAGGATTTTTTTTCTTCTAATCTCACTTTTGAAAATTTCAATTTTAAGGGTTTTTTTTCACAACAGAAGAGGAAGGCTGGGGAAATATTCAGTATCTTTGATACCAGAAATAAACAAAAGGATCTATTTATGAAATTTGACATGGATAAATAGTTTAGTTTAGTTTAGTTTAGTTTAGTTTAGTTTAGTTTAGTTTATTTGGATTTATAGGCCGC